TTCTCAAAAAGAGACAGACTGCTCTGATACTGAATCCTAAAATGTGTATATCATGTGTAACCTCACACAAAACATACTCAGGATCACCAAATCAGTGACTTCAACAATAGTGTTATAGTAAATGCTTCTTCATATAGATGTTTCTTGTAGTCACTATCAATAAAAGCTAAGGACATAAAATAAAAGGTAATTCTGTGAAGACAATTCTATTGGACCCTAAACTAATATGAACAAAGCTGCTATGAATATTCATATAGAAGTCCAAAAATTTCTGGTCACATTATGCGTGTTACTACAATTACATAACTTAATAAAACAATATGGAAATTGATGAAATATGAGTTAAAAGACTCAGAGTTACTATTACTATGAAAACTAAGTTGAAAATAAGCAATACTTGCTGAAGGTGAGCAGCTAAGCCACCGCTATTGAATTAATTCTGAGCAAGATAGTGGTAACGATCTATAGAAGAAATTCACAAAAATCTAAAAAAGACTTTGTACTCAGATAGTTTCACAGGTGTATTCAAGATGTTCCAGTTTAAAGAAATGAAAACAGGAACTTAGATAATATGTTATGTGTATAACAAAATGAGAAACATGTAATCATTTCTCTTGGATAAAACCTAGGAGTAGAACAGCTGAGCCAACAGAAACATTTTGTTTGTCCATTCACTTAGCAGTGGACATTGGGTTGTTTCCAGTTTGGAGCTATGATGGATAATGATACTATGCACATGTACAAGTTTTTGTGTGGATATATATTTTCACTTCTCCTAGGTGATTATTTAAAAGAGTACAATAAATAGGTCTTTTTTTGGACACAAAGTGAGCATACATAAAACTTTCTGGTGTGAAAATCATCATATGACTCCATTCACAGAAGCAGCTATAAGGGGAAATCGGGGCGAACAAGAAAGCTAATCTAAGAGACAGAAAACCAAGAATGTGGCCAGAAAGACAAATCAGAAAAGAACAAACCCATAAACGATGCGCAAAAGTGTGGGAAGAATCTGAGACGTTTAGGGCAAAACCATGCTGAATTTGGGAGCTAGAAAGGGAAAGGTCTTCCCTAGAGGCAACCCCATGAAACGAATTAGCAACTGGCTCGGACCGCTGTCTTATCCGCCGTCCAGCAGCAATCTCCGCTAGAGGGGATTCCCACCAACCCGTTTCTTTCCCTCCCCACAACTGTAATCCTCTCAGCCTACACACCCCAGAATGCAACACGCGCCCTCCGCGAACTGAACTCTCCTCCTCGGCTAGCAGGTCACAGCCTACAATTCCCAGGAGGAAACGCGATCTCCTTCCCACAGCTATGGAAGACTCGGGCCCCCGGAATATCGGGCCAGAAAGTCCACTCCCAGCTCACCTCGGAGCTCCGGGAGCCCTTCAGCACTTGCTTAGTGAGCGCGATGACGTCCGTACCACACGTATTCACCTTCTCTGTAAGGAGACCCTTCACAGACTGACCAAATCGCGCTTGCGAATCTGGCGTCCCAGTCGCCATCACCTCATCTAGTGAACGCCTCCTCCCGGACAACGGCGAGTCGCTGGGGCCAAAAGAGCCACAAAGCGGAAGGAAGCGAGGCGGTGTTTCTTACACCGTGGGAAAAGGAAGGCACGCATGCGCTTAGCGGGGTTGACCTTAAATTCATTTAAAATACTCAGTTGATATCCTGAGGAAGATGAGGCCCAGGTGCACCTCTCTGGAGGGGATGGAGGACCTTTCATTAAATCCATAGATTAGACTGTAATCCTCAATTACAGTCCTACTCCTGCCATTTAGTTTGCGTCTTGTTTTTATCAGTAAGGAAAAAGTAATAATGTTCCGGTCTCCAAAAGTTATGAGAATGAATTAAGATCATTTAGTTCAACTTTAGTAAAATTGCATTAACTAAATATCAAACTATGCTAGCCTGAGGGCAGAGAAAAAGAAAGAGAACAGTCTTTGTCCCTGAGGAGCCGCCAAGCTGTGTGAGGAGCCATGTAAGCAGCTAATAAATGAAGGAAGTGCTCAAAATCACTAGTAATTTTTGATGATAAATGATCTGTTTGTTCTATTAAAAGCAAACTTATCATCACCTTGGAAATGAATTAATAACTGAAATGTTTTTGCGTACCTCTGTTTCTTTGTTAGCTAATGCAGGAAAGATGAGAATAGTGTTATACTGCAAATTTTGTTCAAAATAACCTGTACTCAGATCAACATTACTTTCTCCTCCAAGTGCCTAGATTCATGTCTCTGTTGATTCTTTCATTTAATTCTTGTTCTTAACCAATTTTACTGAGGTATAATTCATGTGCAATAACTATGTTTTTTAAAATGTACAATTTGCAATCCCTATCAAAATAACACCAGCATTCTTCACAGAGCTAGAACAAACAATCCAAAATTGCGTGGATCCACAAAAGACCCCAAATAGCCAAAGCAGTCCTGAAAATGAAAACCAAACCTGGAGGCGTCACAATTCTGGACTTCAAGCTGTATTACAAAGCTGTAATCATTAAGACAGCATGGTATTGGCACAAGAACAGACATACAGAATAGAGAATCCAGAAATGGACTCACAAACATTTGGTCAACTAATCTTTGACAAAACAGGGAAGGATATCCAATGGAAAAAGAGACAGTCTCTTCAGCAAATGGTGTTGGGAAAACTAGATAGCGACATGCAGAAGAATGAACCTGGACCACTTTCTTATACCAGACACAAAAATAAAGTAAAAATGGATGACAGACCTAAAGTAAGACAGAAAGCCATCAAAATCCTAGCGAAGAAAACAGGCAACAACTTCTTTGACCTCAGCCATAGCAATTTGTTACTTGATATGTCTCCAGAGGCAAGGGAAACAAAAGCAAAAATGAACTGTTGGGACCTCATCAAGATAAAAACAGTGAAGGAAACAATCAGCAAAACTAAAAGGCAAACAACACAATGGGAGAAAATATTTGCACATGACACATCAGATAAAAACTATAAAGAACTTATCAAACTCAACACCCAAAAAAATCTCGTGAAGAAATGGGCAAAAGACATGAATAGACGATTTCCAGAGAAGATATCCAGATGGCTAACAGACACATGAAATGATGCTCCATGTCACTCATCGTCAGGTTTTGATACAAATCAAAACCACAGTGAGATACCACCTCACAGGTACCTGTCAGGATGGCTAAAATTAACAGTCAGGTAATAACAGATGTTGGCAAGGACGGGGAGAGAGGAACCCTTTTGTACTCTCGGTGGGAATGCAAACTGGTGCAGCCACTCTGTAAAAGAGCATGGAAGTTCCTCAAAAAATTAAAAATAGAGCTACCCTATGACACAGCAATTGCTCTACTAGGTATTTATCCAAAGGATACAGGAGTGCTTTTTCGAAAGGGCACATGCAACCAATGTTTATAGAAGCACTATTGACAATAGCCAAAGTATGAAAGAGCCTAAATATCCATCGACTGATGAATGAAGATGTGGTATGCGCGCGCGCGCGCGCACACACACACACACACACACACACACACACACACACAATGGAATATTATTCAGCAATCAAAAAGAATGGAATCTTGCCATTTGCAACAACATGGATGGAACTAGAGTGTATTATGCTAAGTGAAATAAGTCAGAGAAAGACAAATATCATGTTATACATGAAATCATATATTACAATTTCACTCATATGTGAAATTTAAGAAACAAAACAGATGAACATTAGGGAATGGAAGCAAAAATAATATAAAAACAGAAAGGGAGACAAACCATAAGAGGCTGTTAAATACAGAACAAACAGAGGGTTGCTGGCAGGGTATCGGGTGGGAGGTGGGCTAAATAGGCCATGGGCATTAAGGAGGGCACTTGGGATGAGCCCGGGGTGCTATATGTAAGTGATGAATCACTAAATTCTATTCCTAAAAGCGTTATTACACTATATGTTAACTAACTTGGATTTAAAATTTTGTTTTAATAATTAAAATTTTAAAAAATAATAATAATTAAAAATAAAATGGAAAAAAAATTCTGACTTGGTAATGAAAAGTTCTCAAGGAAAATATGGTAATAAAATCCTTTCTGTGGCTGAAAAGAAAATAAAGTGTACAGTTTGTGGGTGCCTGGGTGGCCCAGTCAGCTCAGGTGTACTGTCAGCACAGAGCCTGCTTCAGATCCTCTGTCTCCTTCTCTCTCTGCCCCTCCCTGCTTACACACACTCTCTCTCTCAAAAATAAACATTTAAAACAATAAAAAATAAATTGTACAATGTGATTAGTGTGACAGATGTACACACCTATGAACCACCACCACTATCAAGGTACAGAGCATTTTTATCACCCACAAAAGTTTCCAAGTCCGTCTTTGCAGTCGATCTATCCCTCACTCTAGGCAACAATTGATCTGCTTTCTATCACTGTAAACTAATTTGCATTTCTAGAATGTCATATAATTGGAATAATACAGAAAGTATTCTTTTTGTCTGGCTTTTTTCAGCATAATGATTTTGAGAGTCATCCACATTGTGATGCATATCACTAGTCTGTTCCTTTTTATTTCTGAGAAATATTTCATCGTTTGAATATATCTCATTTTGTTTATCCATTCACCTGCTGATGGACATTTCGGTTGTTTCCATTTGGGGGTTATTATAAATAAATGTGCTATGGCATTCATATACAAGTCCTTATGTGTGTTGTTTTCATTTATCTTGGAAAATATCAAGGAATAGAATGGCTGGGTCATATGCAAAGTGTTTAGCTTTTCAAGATCTGCCAAACCACTTCCCGAAGTTTTTTTGTGTTTTTGTTTGTTTGTTTGTTTTACCACTTTACATTCCCAGTAGCAGCGTAGGAGACTCCAATTGCTCCACACCCACAAATTTAGAAAAAGACTGTTATGTGGCCATGGTAACAAGAAGTCACCTGTGGTAGACAGACTGGCCACTGACAGGTAGCTTTCATGATCCCCACCACCTGGTGTTCACCTCCTGATGATCCCCTTCACTTACATGTGGGCAGGATCTGTGGCTTGCTTCTGATCCAACAGAATATGCACAGGTGATGAGACATACCTGATTGTGCATACATGATTATGTGATTACAAAGACTGTAAGGCCCATCTTGCTGAAGTCTCTTGATGGCTGTGAAGAAGGAAATGGCCATGTTGGAGAACTCCACATGGCAAGAAACTGCAAGCATTATCTAGTCACTGAAAAATGAGCCTCCAGCTGAAAACCAGGGGGAAAAAAGCACTCAATCAAACAACCTAAAGGAACTGAATGGTACTAACAATCAGGCAAATTGGGAAATAGAACCTTACCCATTTGAGCCTCCAGATGAGAGCCTAGCCCTGGCTCACACCTTGATTGCAGCCTTGTGAGACCCTAAGTAGATGGCCCAGAAAAGTTGTACTTGGATTCCTGACCCACAGGAACTATAAGATAATAAATGTACATTGTTTTAAGCCACTGTTTTTGGTAATATTTTTATACGGAAATAGAAAACTATTATGCCACCAAAACTTGTTTGAAATCTGTTCAATCAGTTCATGACAACTCACCTCAGTGAATCCCTTTTGCGAATCAAGCAATCAGGGTCACTTCTGAAAGTCAGTCATCCAGGAATCCAATAATCACCCCCTTAGAGTGCCAATCAATCAACAGTAGTCTCACCCGAGTTACTTCCATAAAAGATAATATCAACCTTCTGATGTGTGATGATAAAATCACTGCCACTATCTATTTCACAGACTTTTTCATTGTCCCAAGCAGAAAACTCTGTACCCATTAAATATTTGCTATTAATTACTTCCACCCCCTGGTAACCTCTAATTTATGCCACTATGAATTTACATATTCTAGATACCTCTGGCAAATGCAATCGTACAATATCTGTCCTTTTGTGTCTAGTTTATTTCACTTAGCAAAAGGCTTTCAAAGTGAATTCAAGTCATAGCATGTATTAGAACTTCATTCTTTTTATAGCAGAGTAATATTCCACTGTATGTATATAACGCATTTTGTTCATCCATTCATTTGTTCATGGACACTTGGGTTGATTCCACCTTTTGATTATTATGAATAATACTGCTGTGAACATTGGTGTACAAGTACCTTTTTGAGTCCCTCTCGTCAATTCTTCTGGACACCTACCTAGTTATAGAATTGCTAGTCAGATGGTAATTCTATGGTTAACATTTTGAGGAACAAATGTAAGTTTCCACAGAAGCTACGCCATTTTAAATAACCACCACAATGCATGAGGTTTCCAATCTCCATACTGTCACCAACATTTGTTATTATTTATATATATATAAAATACCCATCCTAGTGGGTATAAAATGGTAAGAATTTTTACTTTTGAAAGAAACTGCCAAACTGTCTTCCAAAGTGGTTGCATTCTCAGGGTGCCTGAGTGGCTCGGTTGGTTGAGCATATGATTTTTGATTTTGGCTTAGATCATGGTCCCATGGTTCATGAATTTGAGCCCTGCATCAGGCTCTGCGCTGATGGTGTGGAGCCTGCTTGGGATGCTCTCCCTCCCTCTCTCTCTGCCCCTCGCCCCCTCAAAATAAACATTTTTAAAAAGTGGTTGCATTCCCACCAGTGACAAATAAGAGTTCCTGTTGCTCCACATTGGTGAGCATCTAATTTTGTCAGTTTTTTTGGATTTTAGCCATTCTAATAGGTATGTAGTGGGTATCTCATTGTTTTAATTTGCAATTCCCTAATGACATATGAGATTGTCTTTTCATATGCTTATTTGCCATCTATATATATCATCTATGGTGAGATGTCTGTTCAGATCTGTTGCCCATTTTTAAACTGGGTTATTTTCTTAGTGTTGGGTTTAAAAGTTCTTTGTATATTTTGGATATTAATCTTTTACCAAATATGAGTTTTGCAAATATTGTCTTCTAGCTGGTGGCTTGTTTATTCATTTTCTTCCTTTTTAAATTTATTTTTTAATGTTTATTTTATTTTTGAAAGAGAGAGAGGGGAGAGAGAGAGACAGAATGTGAGCATGGAAGGGGCAGAGAGAGAGGGAGACACAGAATTCAAAGCAGGCTCCAGGCTTTGAGCTGTCAGCACAGAGCCCTATGCATGACTCAAACTCATGGCTCACAAGATCATGACCTGAACCAAACTCAGATGCTTTACCAACTGAGCCGCCCAGGCACCCCTGTGTCTTCATTTTCTTAACAGTGACTTTCACAGTGCATTAAATTTTAATGGAGTCCAACTTATCCATGTATTTCTTTCATGGATTATACTTATGGTATGTATCTAAAAAGTTATCACCTTGAGGTGCCTGAGTGGCTCAGTCAGTTAAGCATCCAACTTCAGCTCAGGTCATGATCACATGGTTCGTAGGTTCAAGCCCCGCGGAGGGCTCTGTACTGAGAGCTAGCAAAGAGCCTAGCCTGCTTCCGATTCTGTATCTCCTTCTCTCTCTGACCCTCCCCTGCTCACTCTCTCTCTCTCTCAGAAATAAATAAAACATTAAAAATTTTTAATAAAAAAGTAAATAAAATGTTATCACCAAACTGAAGGTCCTTGAATTTTCTCTTATGTTATCTTCTAGGAGATTTACAGTTCTGTGTTTTTCATTTAGGTCTCTGATCCATTTTTGATAATAGCTTTTGTGGAAGATATAAGGTCTATTGTCTAATTCTTTTTTTCTCTTTATTTCCTTTTTTTTTTTAATGTAAGAATGTCATTGTTCCAGCATCATATATTGAGAAAACCAGCCTTCCTCCATTCAATTGCCTTTGCCTCTTTGTCAAAGATCAGTTAACTATTTTTATTTTTGTCTATTAATGGGCTCTCTATTCTGTTCCATTTATCTATTTGTCTGTTCTTTCACCAATAACACAATCTTGATTACTGTAGCTTTACAATAAGTCTTGAATCAGGTAGTATCAGTCCTCCTTCTGTGTTGTGTTGGCAATATTGGGTCTTCTGCCTTTCCATATAAACTTGATAAGTAGTTTTTCAGTATCCAAAAATAACTGGCTGGGATTTTTATTAGGATTGCACTGAATCTATAAATCAAATTAGAAAGAACTGACATCTTACAAACTGGATGTTCCTATACACAAACATGGCATATCTTTCTGTTTATTTCAATATTTTTAAATTCCTTTCATCAGAGTTTTGTAGCTTTTCTCAATAAAATATAATACCTTATTATATGTGTATACCATATTTTATTCCTAAATTCTTCATTTTTTGTTAATGTAATTGCATTGTGTTTTACATTTCAAATTCCAATTCTTCATTGCTGATATACAGGAAAGCAACTGACTTTTTGTATATTAATCTTGTATCCTGCAACCTTGTTAATTTCCGGGGAGGTTTTGTTGTTGTTGCTGTTGATTCTTTGGGATTTTCTACATAATGTCATCTGCTGACAAAGACAGTTTTATTTCTTCCTTCCTAATCTGTGTCCCTTTTATTTTCTTTGTTTTATTGCATAGCTAGGACTTTCAGTACTATGTTGAATAGGAGTGGTAAGAACGGACATTCTTGACTTTTTCCCAACCTCAAAGGGAAATCAATCTTCTCATCATTAAATATGATATTAACTACAGGGCTTCTGTAGTTGTTGCTTATCAATTTGGGGAACTTACCCACTATTCCTAGTTTGCTGAGAGTTTTTATCATGAATAGATGTTGGCTTTTGTGAAATGCTTTTCTACACGATATGATTTTTCTTTTTTAGCCTGTTGATGTGAGAGGTCATATTAGCAAATTTTCTAATATTGAACTAGCCTGAATATCTGAGATAAATCCCACTTGGTCTTAATGAATGATTCTTTTTATATATTGTCAGATTTTTATATATTGTCAGTTACTAATATTTTGTTGAGGATTTTTGCATATATGTTCATGAAAGATAATGGTCTGTGACCTTCCTTTCTTGTATTGTCTTTATCTGGTTTTGGTATTAGGGAAAATATGGAAATTCTAGGGAATTAGTTAAGAAGTATTCCCTCTGCTTCTCTATTTTGTAAGAGATTGTTGAGAATTGGTATAATTTTTTTTTTCCTTACAAGTTTGGTAGAATTCAACAATGAAGCTGTCTGGCCTGATGCTTTGTGTTTTCAAGCATTATTAATTATTGATTCAAGTACTTTAATAGATATAGACTGATTCAGAGTATCTTGTGTGAGTTTTGGCAGATTATGTTTTTAAGGAATTGGTCCATTTCATCTAGCTTATCAAATTTGTGGACATAGAGTTGTCTAAAGTATTTCTTACTCTTCTTTTAATGTCAATAGGATCAGTAGTGGTGGCCCCTCTTTCATGTGTGATTTTGGCTATTCATGTCTTCTCTCTTAGAAAAAAAGGTTTGCCTGGCTTGAGGTTTATCAGTTTTATTGATTTTTTAAAGACCAGCTTTGGGTTTTGTTAATTTCCTCTATTGTTTTCCTGTTTTAAATTTCATTGATTCCTGCTTTAATTTTTATTATTTATCTTCTTCTGTTTGCTTTAGGTTTATGCTGCTTTTCTTTCTCTAGTCCTAAGGGGGAAACTTATATTATTGGTTTTACATTCTAGTATATACTTCCAGAGATATTTTATGCATATAAGGCAAAACAGTATATATATTCGTCTTCCGTTTTTTACACAAATGGAAGCGTTCAATACATGGTATTCTTATCTCTGCTCTTTTTACCTAACAATATATTTTGGAAATCTTTCCATGATAATCACATAAAGTGTTCCCTCCTTTCTCTGACTGCATTGTATTCTCATCTCCTATTGATGGGGGGTATATTACTGGAAATTATAAACACTGCTAAAATGATTCATTTTGTGCACTGAACTGTGTGACAGTTTAACTGTGTAACAACTTTAGACTGCTTCAATCCCAGCTTTTCCATTGACGGGTTGGATGGCCTTGGGCAAGTCCTTGTGTCTGTTTCCTTATCTGTAAATTAGGGATGGTGATGATTATAGCACGCTATACAGCTGTTTTAAGTATTAAGTTAAATATTACATGTAATACATGGCAAATGCTCAGTAAAGTTATTATTTTCCCAAATTGTTGGAAGCCTTGATTAGAAACAGTAGTGATTCTTTACCTCTAACAATAAAGTAAAAATTAAGGGAGATTGAACTTAATGGTCCCAAAC